ATCATTACTCCATTCCTACATTTTCTTTTCATTTTTATTTATTTTACTACCCACCCAATTATTTTTCTTTTCAAGATTAAAGAATTTGAATGTAAATGTTTTTAGATTTGTTAACACCACAACGATACAAAATATGTTCTCACACACTACTTGAATTGTATATGGTTGTAGTTTAATACCTGACTTTATCACATTATTATGAACTTAGAAAATTTTGATTTAAAATCTCGCTCACACTCAATTAATCTAGAAAAGAGGTCTAATATATCATCTAGAATAATTTTTTTTCCTCTGCAAAGTGGAACATTCGAGAATAACATGTGAATTATATACATTATATACATCCGCACTTAAAAATTTTGTTGGCTCTACCCCTACTAATACCGTAAATCAATATGTTTGTTAATTAAGAAATTAAATGTGAGGAGAGAGACAATTATATAGTCGTTATCAAAGTTGATATGGTGAGAGACTGTGAAGTAAGCGATGAGGTAAGACAGAAACTTCACTGCACTGGGTACAGCCGCCACCACCACCGCGCGTTGACTTTTTTTTCCCTTGTTAAATTACGAATTTATTTTCATTCAATTTCAATTGCGTATCATATTTAATTTAAAGTTATTTCTATGATTTTAAAAATTTTAATTTAGTATTTGTAGTGTTTTCAAAACTTAAAATCGTCTATGTCCTTTTACAAATCGTTTTCATATCGAATATAAGACATGCTTACTATTAATCTAAAATTACAAGTTTGGTTCTTAAATTTATAAAATGATATTTGATAGATGATTGAATTTTAAAAAGTGTTTAATATTAAACTTTCATGTTGGCTTTAATTCATCATAAACTTTAAGAAGTGTCTAGCAAAGTAGCGTTTGTAGTCCAACGGTTAGGATAATTGCCTTCCAAGCAATAGACCCGGGTTCGACTCCTGGCAGACGCATTATTAATCTTTTTATTAAAAAAGAGTCTAGCAGATTTTTGAAAACTTCAGAGTTCGTAAACTTTATGAGATATAACTCGAAAATGAAATTAAGCTTAAATTAGAGGAATAAAATTATAGTTTAACCATCTCGTTCCTCTCAAAACCACCACACATTTTTCAACTTAAAAAACCCTAATGGGCCTTTGGTATATGGGCCCGCACAAATGGGTGGGCCAAACAAAGCGTACCGGATCCCGAGAGGCACCTTCAAATAATCATAATAATAATAAATTAACAAAATGGGTCAAATTTTGACATCCTTTTTTTTATTTAATAATCCTTCAATTTCGACGTCCCTTGCATTTTTGCCACGTTGCTTGTGTTGAGGCCACTCTTTGAATTTTGAACACCTATCCTTTTCACTCTCATTAAAATATTTCTGTTTGATCTGTTCAAGAGGTTTGGAGGACAAGATATTAAATATTAATTATTATGAAATCAATTAGTTATTTACAACAGTGAGAAGAAAATTAATATAAAATTTAACCATTCTTGTGTTAAGTTTCCTCCCAATTACTACACGACATTTTAGAATTTAACCATTCTTGACACTAATTACGATGATTGACTTAGTAAATTATATACGATAAAAATATAAAATAGCAAAATTAAATAAAATATGGCATTATATTTATATTTCATTTAAAATTACAATCTTCAAATATATTCCGTTAATCTTCAGTCTTAAGAAATCTAAATGTGTTTAGCGGATTTAGACATTTAGATAGCAAAGAAAAAGATTCGTCCACATTTTTCATAAAACAGTTTTTTTCCAGTAAAGAAATAATATAAAAATTAGCAATATTTTTCATTAAACAATATAAAAGATAAATCGTAAAGAAAATAATTGCATGTGTCTGAAGGCTCAATCCCAAGTCATCCAATAGAGGATTGGGAGGCGCACTTAAAATATCATATGCATTATTATTCATTTATTAATATTATAATAAACTTAAAGTTTAACTGACCTTATATTAGCTTAATCTACTCCCAACACACAAGTTTAGTGCGACGACTGTTTGAGGGGGCTCGATTATACTTTGTTCAATGAGAGGATTGTTGGGTTTGTAAAAGAGTGCAAACAAAGTCCCATATTAATTAGTATATATATATATACACACAAACAATTATCTTCACTAGTGTGAAATTTTATGGGTGAAACAAAAAATAAAGTTGTGAGAGTTATGCCAAAAGCGGACAATAATATCGTACAATATTTGATATAATTATGCTGAAAAATGCGTCTACCGTACTTGATTTATCTCAAATTATGGCCAATGTACAAGATTCATCTACCCTATTTTTGTAATTATTTTCAAAACTATTTTACTTCTGTAACTCTTTAAATAAAATAAAATAAAAAAAAGAAATCATTGCTTTAGATGAATCCAAAGTTTTATAGCATCACATTTTAATTACCTACGAAATTGCCGTATCATGTAAAAGGAATAATATCTACATTGCATCTCTAAACAACGTCTCCTCCAAATTTCAAATTAAAATACGATATACGCATTTTGTAGGAATTGGTCAAAACTTTTTGGACAATAATTTCTACGTATACTATTAAATTGATATGTCCCATATTATACACACAAACACATTTCTCAGGAAACATAATATATTATATATAGAGAGATATTGTTATAAAATTTAATTAATTAATTAATTATATTAAGGAAGCAAACCACGTCCAATTATAAACAAGGAATTGGTCTCAAACTGTTTGAACGTGTATAACTGTAAACAGACAGAACATGAAACGCCAACATGTAACATAAATAATATTTTACGAGGTTAAAAAAAAAAGAAAAAAGAAAAAAAGAGTTGAAATAATTTTAATAAATAAATTTTAGGAGAATAAATTGACTTAAGAAAATTTGGAGGAGAGGAGTCCAAAAAGGGTGGCAACAAACAAGCGGGGCCATTTTGGTGTGCGTCATTGCCAACATTCTATGCTTAGACTTTCTAATTATAGATGCTCTTAATAATAACTTAATTATTATCTATAATATCCTATTCATTTACACGTGAACTTTTAAAAATAAAATATTATAATGTGATCCAACATATTTACTTATAATAAAATTTTCAAAGTGAGGGAACGAAAATCACGCATTAAAAGTTTATTCATATTTGTGATTGTACACTAAATAAATGATTAAATTATTGATGTCAATTTGATCTTAAATCAATTAATTAATCGATTAAAAAAATTAGAATCTTACATAGTGCTGACTTTAAATGACAAAATTAAGTTATTGATTAATTTTACAATTTCAAAAAGAAAATGTTAATTTTTTGGAGTAAATCCGTAAAAAGGAGTTTGGAGAATAGCATTTGTCAAAAGAAAAACTTATTTTGATTGTAAATTTGTGGGCGGCATATGTGTACGTGTATCTTTTCAACACTTTTTTTATGTCACTACTGTCATCGATTTCATATTTTATTTTATATTTAAAAAAAAATTTTTTAACCCTTATTGAGAATATATGCCTAGCTCAGCTAGGTTGAAGTAGAGATGTTCACGGGTTGGGTTGGGTCGGATCGGGGATATTTTTGGGACCAACTCCAATTTTCGGGTTGGGAATTTGTGGGAACCTCGGGTTGTAAACCGATGGCCAACTCAACCCAACCCAACCCAATAAATTGGGGTTGAGTCGGGTTGTGTTGCCGGATTCTTTTTTTTTTTAATTGATTAATTAATTTACTTTTGTTTTGTTTATAACATGGACAAAAAAAAAGTATAGAAAAATCAAAATCTTAATTTAAGCACAAATTCAAATCTTAATTGAAACCAACATGTAAGTCCTAATTTAATACAAATTTTAAAATTTTACATTATCCAAAGTTTAAAACCTAACATGTAAGCCCTAATTTAACAATATTAAAAGCTTACACCTTATTAGAGAGATGGGGGAGAGGATGATGAAATTGAAAAAGTTAGAAAAGAGAGAGAATCAAATATTCAAAAGGGGAGGATTGAATTGAAACCTAAAATCAATGGTTTATATTTAATGAAAAAAAATATTATAATCTCGAGTCGGATCAAGTTGACCCGGGATTTTCAAGGGTCAGCCCGAGACCCGATCCAATCCGATCGGGTTGAGATTTTTCCAACCCAATGTTAGATTCAACCCAACTCAACCCTTCATCGGGTTCCTTGAACACCCCTAGGTTGAAGTGGACTAATTTTAATTAAATTTTTTTAGGAAAATAGGGGTGGCAAACTAAATTCATGTTAAGAAATATAATACACTTTTTTCGTAATAGTTTTGCTAAATACAATATTAAAATTTTATTATAGTTCTGCTTATACTCTTCCACACTCTGCCTTAAAAATCCAAATTTAGTCCTTTTTTTATTATTTTTTTTATCAATTAGTCCATTTGTTGATATAGTATTTAATCTCTAAATTTTAAAAATTTTTAATTCTGTCCCTAGATTTTGAATTAGGCTTCTATTAAGTTCAAACAATTAAATACAATATGTCCATTAATCTACCTAAACTATATGTCACCACACATCTATCAAATTAAAATTAATTTGAGACATTTGACATATTAACAACAAAACTAAATAAAAGCACAATTAAATTTGAAAATTAAAATTATAAATTTAAAAATTTTTAAAATTTTAAATTAAGGAGGTCTAAATGCATACATGACTAGGTGGAATTTATGAACCAGATAAAAGGGAGGGAAAAAAAAAAAAAAGCAACCAATCTTCCAGGTCAAGTCGATCTAGACCATATTAAACCATATCCAATCATATCCAGAAGACAGTCCAATATATCTACCTAAACTAATCCAAGAAGACTTCCTCTATAAATTATAGGAGAGGCCTAAGACGCAAGATATATTCAATACAACCCTCCCCGAACTTGTTTTAATAAGCATGGGGTGTGCTTTTATCTTTTTGGAGGGATAAATATACAGCTCATATGAAAACTATGAAAATGGAGTTTCAAGGAAGACAAGTTAGTCGTTTTAAGATAAACAAAAGTCCAAATTGTCAGGCAATCAAACTTTGGCTTCTGTGTTTTACATTTATTTGGAGAAAAAAAAAAACAAAGAGGTGAGATCATGAAGATGATCAGCTACCAGCACGCAATTGAATTGGAATGGTAAGACCGCGTATAAGTATTTCAACGTCGCATCACCAAAAACAAACAAACAAACAAAAACCTTTGGAAAATACAGTCCCCACAGAACAGAAACAACTCCCACATTTTTCCTTCTCAGTTTTTACACTACAAATTCGGAAAAAGGAAAAAGAAAATTCCCTCTCACTCGGTTTCTCTTTCTTTCCCTATTCCTATTGCCTTTCGGATCAAGTGAATCCCCCTCCCTTTTTCGTCTATAAATACCCCCTCTCCTCCTCTCCACTCCCAACCAACAAATTCCCACAAACAAATCTTCCAAATCACCAACCACTTCCTCAATTCATACATTTGTCAAGAGCAATAACTTTTTAGTTTCTTGGTTGAATTGAATTTAATTACCTGCCATGCCGCGGAAGGGAATGAGGAGCGTTTTCTTCAGATCGCCAACTCCGAGCACGCCGTCGTCGCCGTTGTCTCACTCGCCGCGCCACACTTTATCGGATTCCATGGTGGAAGAGAATATTGAAGTTGCGGAATCGTGTGCCGCAAAGTGGGCCGCTGATGCCGTTACTGCTGGTTCCTTGTTTCAAGGGGAAGACCGTGATGAAGCTCGACAGTTTATCAAGGTAGTTAAGGACTTGCATGCCGCGATGCACTGCATCGTTTCTCGGGATCCGACATCGGAGAAGCTTGTGCGAGCTCATGATTTGATGAGGATTGCGATGGAGAGGCTTCAGAAAGAGTTTTACCAGATTTTGTCTGCTAATCGGGAGTATTTGTATCCGGAATCGGTTTCCAGCGTTCAATCGCCGGTAACGGTTTCGGCTAGATCGAGTACCTCTGATTTCGAGGCGGAATCGGAAGATGAATTCTGTTTTGCTAACGAATCTGCTATTGCTGAGGTAGAGCGGGTTTCGATGTCTGCCATGGCGGATTTGAAAGCAATTGCGGATTGTATGATCTCCACCGGTTATGGCAAAGAATGCGTCAAGGTTTATAAAATCGTAAGGAAATCGATAATTGACGAGAGTCTCTACAATCTTGGAGTTGAGAAATTGAGCATTTCGAAAGTCCAGAAGATGGATTGGGAGGTTCTGGAGATCAAGATCAGAAGCTGGTTGAAAGCTGTGAAACCGGCAGTGAAATCTCTGTTCGAAGGGGAGAGAATCCTTTGCGATCACGTCTTCTCGGCTTCCGTGTCCATCAGAGAAACGTGCTTCGCTCAAATTTCCAAAGACGGCGCGATGACTCTTTTTGGATTCCCAGAATTGGTCGCAAAGTACAAAAAAACTCCAGAGAAAATTTTCATTACGCTGGATCTATACGAGGCCATAGCCGACCTCTGGCCGGAGATCGATTACATTTTCTCATCCACAGCGACGTCAATGGTCCAATCACAAGCAGTCAATTCACTCGTCAAACTCGGGGACAACATTCGCACATTGTTCGCTGATTTTGAAATGGCTATTCAGAAAGAATCATCCAAAGCGCCGGTTCCGAGTGGCGGAGTTCATCCACTCACTCGCTACGTGATGAACTACATCTCGTTCCTCTCCGATTACAGTGGAATACTCAACGACATAGTCGCCGATTGGCCTTTAGCGACAAAAGTAATGTTGCCGGAATCATACTACGGGCCGCCGAAACAGGATGATAGTCCGATTACCTTACGATTCGCCTGGCTGATTCTGGTTCTCCTCTGCAAACTCGACGGCAAAGCAGAGCATTACAACGACGTCGCACTCTCCTACTTGTTCTTAGCCAACAATCTCCGATACGTCGTCGACAAAGTCCGATCATCGAACCTGAAATTCCTTCTCGGCAACGACTGGATCGAGAGGCACGAATCGAAGATCAAACTCTACACCTCCAAATACAGGCGCATAGGATGGAGCGAAGTGTTCTCGTCGCTGCCGGCCGACGTCGCGGCTGATATCTCGCCGGAAAAAGCGAGAGAATCGTTCGGAAATTTCAACAGAGCTTTTGAAGAGACCTACAGAAAACAGACCTCGTGGATCGTGCCCGATCAGAAGCTTCGAGATGAAATAAAGATCTCGTTGGCGAAGGAGATTGGGTCTTTATACGGCGAGTTTTACGCGAAGCATCGGTTGCGTATGGGGCGGGTTTACGGGTCGGGCTCGATGGTCCGACTTTCCCCCGATGATTTAGGAAATTATATTTCGGATCTCTTCTACGGGTCTGGATCCGGAAGTATAGGGAGCGTTTCCTCGTCTTATTCGTCGTCCAATTCCTCGCCGACTTCTCGAGGGAGGGTCGTACGTTGAGACGTGGACGGCGGCCGGCTCCTATAGATTTTTTTTAAAGAAATATGATTCATTTATGTACATAAAATTATTTCCATTTTTTCAAATATGATAAATGAATAAAGGTTTTGTCATACTCATACAGATGCCGTAAATAAATTGATTATGTTGATAATTTAGGAGAAATACCAAAATTTATTATCTATCAATTTTTACCTAAACTTTTCATTTCATTCCCTTGCATCTTAATGATGAGAAAAATCAAGAAAAAACAGAAAAAAACTGAGACACGAAGAATTCTAAACCGAAGAAAAAACACTTTTTGCAAATACCACTCATTAGTATAGCAAAAATATTTCAATTCAACGAAAATTTGATTTCCTCTCCTAATTTTTATCTAATAAAAAGCTGGAAATTTTCTTAGATACCGATAGATTTTACATTCTAACTTTCTCTACATAAAATTTTTCAAATCAAAAAATTTTAGAAGTTTTTTTTTTGTGAGAAAGTAAAATTTTTTAAAGAATTAAAATGATTATTATAAAATCTTAATGTTGTTTTAGTATACCATGTAGAGTAGAAATATAAAAAAATATTAGCAAGAAGACATATGTT